GAAGTATTCTCTCTCTCTTTCTCCCTCTCTCTTTCACACACACACACACATGTGTAGTAATGAATATTTCCGCATTCTAGTGGTAGATTCGTTCGATCTTTCTCATCCTATGTAGGGAAGCACCATGTAGTATGCCACACGTTTCACATACACACCCTCACACACTCATGCACACGTACATACATACACACACACACACCCAAACCATAGTGCGCGGTCACACACACACACGCACACTCACACACAACACACACATACCTACATACTCATGCACACACACACACATACACACACATACACACAAACGAACGTTCACACTCACACACACATACGCACGTACACAGATACATGCGCACTCACACATAGATGCACGCACGTAGTAGTGTAGACTAATGTGTTGTAGCTGTAGAGTCGTTTGATTTAGCTCATCTTATCGAAGAAGTCGCATGAGTCGGTCACGTGACAGTGGCGACAAACACACAAGCACACACTCACTCACACACACACACACACACACACACACACACACACACACACACACACACACACACACACACACACATACACGTGTATAGTAGTAATGTATACTTCCATATTTTTATGGTAGATTCATTCAATTTATTTATTTATTTATTTTATTTTATTTTATTTATGTTCATCCCGCCAATGGAAGTATCGTTAAGCGAGGTGTGTGATAGGAGACTTATCATTTCTCTCTATCCCCTCGCCCTCCTTGTTGTCGTCGGCGGCGTCGGCGTCGTAGTCTCCTTCTCATAGAACATCACGATCCGTCATGATGTGCGGCATACCGACTACAGCGCAGACACATACGCATACTCCAACACATCGGGCGGATGGCGAGCCCGTCCTCACGGCTCCAACAACAGATGCATCACGCATCTGACAAGTCTCCATCTCACATACGGTAAGCCCCGGGCGCATGACTGAGGCCACTAGTCCTCGATGCCACCCAGATGGCAAGGAGCGCAGAGCCTCCTACCCAAGCTGCTACACCTCGTAATACGGACGGAACGCGCCGTTGCGTACGAAGACAACACCACAACAAACCCGCAACCTTTCTCCCCGAAACCTACGAGATGGGAGAGGTGACTGGGAACCTCCGCATCCTCCCCTTCTGCGCCCAGATCGTCGCCATCATGACCACAAGGAAGGTAAGTCATCCTATCTTCCCATCTCCCTCTTCGTCTTCTTCTCTTCTCCTTCCACATGCGGCTTCTTTCTCGACCCGCGCACTACCTCTTCCTTATGCTCTCCCTCTCGCTACCCTCTGCTGGCCTTCTTGCCCGTTATGCTGCGCACCGATCCCCATAACTCCCTGCGCACCATCTCCATCTTTACTGCTCCCGGCGCACCATCTCCGCTGCTGGAGTGCACTACCTCCGCTCGCTATTTCGCCCAAGACGTTGCCATCATCGATTACATGGCGAGGTACGTCGCCCTCACCCCTTCTCCTTTTCTTCTTCTCCGCCTTCTCCTTCTTCTCCTCACTCTTTTTCTTCTTCCTCTTCCTTCCCCGCGTTGTTCACCTTTTTCTCTCGCAAGCGCGCCCTCCATTGCTTTCCGCATGTTCGTCGATCGCCTCCTGCTCAAGGTGACTCACTCCTCCACGACAGCAATCTTCCTCGTGTTGTGGGTAGACCCAACAAAATGAGATCGCTGTGGGATCGAAATTCTTTTCGAGAACGAACTTTGCCCGAAACTTGGGGCAAAAACACTAAGGTAAGAGATTCGTTCACGTGGAAAAGCAAAATAAAAGAACTTGCAAAAAAAGAAGTTAGCTCAAGGGTCGGGCATATTCGATCCCTGAGTCTATCACTTAACAACCTGCACCCTAACTTACTGAGTTAGCTCCCACTTCAAGTAAAAGAGGAGCATTTTCAGTATGTATAGAGCAACGGGGCTCAATTTTACCAAAGGCATAATCCCGTTTTGCGAGTCTTAGCGAGGGCACGCCTGCCGGCTGGCATGCCTGTCGGAGTGCTTGTCCGTTTGAGTGTATGTGCGGCCCGCTTGGGTACTCAGTTGATCGGATGGCCCGAAGGGTCGGTACTTAGCCATGGCCACGACATTGAGGGTCGCGGCGGGGAAAACACTCAAGTGGCTGGTAGACCGGTACCATACTAAGGTAGATGTGTTGGGTACCCGAGGCCGAGTAAAAGAAGACAAAGAGTTAGTATTTTTAGAGGGCAAGTATCTGTAGGTAGACAGGTACCACTCCAAGTCTCAGTGTGTGTCGTAGATCTGCACGACACAACCCTAACCCAATCAACCCTTCGACCTTTTCGGTCGGAGGGTATTACTACTAATCCTAACCATCGCAGCGTGCGTCGCAACAACGCGTGCTCATACTCTCAAAATTTTCTCACTTATTCGCCCCGGCCTCAATGGCCGAGGAAATCGTTCCAAGTGTCACGCTAAAGCGCATACCCTTTCCATCCCAGACCGGCCCCGTCGTGGTAGCCGACGTCGTCGTTGTGTCAAATGCAAAAGCATGGGCAAATACCCTTGTAAGGGTATTTGGTCCGACAACGGTGTATCTTTGCATGTTCTAGTGGAAGATTCACTCACATTTTCATTTTCCGAACGAGAACGAGAGGTCTCTCTCTCTTTCTCTCTCTCTCTCTCTCTCTCTCTCTCTCTCTCTCTCTCTCTCTCTCTCTCTCTCTCTCGCGCGCGCGCATACACGCGCCAGCGTTTCCATTGTCTATTTCGAAATGGGAATGGATCTTCTCGCGAAAGTGGGAAGATTCATTCCCGTTTCTGTTTTAGTTTTCGATACGAGCGAGCCAGCGAGCGAGAGAGAGAGAGAGAGAGAGAGAGAGAGAGAGAGAGAGAGAGAGAGAGAGAGAGAGAGAGAGAGA